TTTTTTTTTTTTTTTTTTATATTTTGTGGGGGGCTTGTTATGTTTTGGCTTCATCCAATATTGAGCCTCGCACTCTTCTGTCAGTGTGATGCTGAACCACAGCAACAAGTTACATCATGACTTCACCCTCATTTGTCTTATCGGGAGATTTTCGAAGGCAACCTCAGAAAAATGACGGCTGAATAGATTTCGCTCATTTGTGCTCAAGCAAAATTCCATTTTCCTTGCAGATATTTTGGTCGCCGCATGATCTCCTCATTTGTCTTTGCCGTATAATTAAATTTCTTTCAAGCACAAACGATGTGGAAGTCCGTGATTAAACGAAGTCGGTCATCGAGCCGTTTCAACCAAGATCGCTCTTACACACCAAGATTTTTGTTAAAATGGAATGAATATTTTATTATTGGGTCACACCAGTGTCAATTTCTAACGCCTTCATGTATTACAGTTAAAAAAAAAAAAAACAAAAAAAAACAGCGGTGCTCTAATTGGAAGACGTGGTTGGATTACTGCAGTATTTTCGGTCCGGGGAGGATTACCAAGACCCATTTACTTGATCCTGACTGCTCTGTCTTAAGGCTTCCGTTGCTTTGCTAAGATGTTGGCCTACACGTGAGGAGCTGCTCGTTCCCTTTTTCGAAGAGTAAAATGGCAAACATCACTTAGCAGGGGGAGATGATGATGGCAATATTATCCGCAGAAGCCACTCATCATGCTCTTAAATGAGAGCTGCGGGCGTGACAGAAGGTTTTGACACCGGTCCTTGTTTTTTTTTTCCCCCTTTTTCCACCTTACCAGACACATGTTGTGGGCCATCTGCCTGCCTGGCGCTCAAATCGCCCCCCCCCCATTCACTTTCACCACCCCTCCCACAGAAATAAGGTCACTGTACTTGAAGCCACTCCGTGCCGCCTCTTTAATCCTCACTGCAGAGCAAGAGTGCAGCAGGGGGGGGTAATAAGACTTGGTGTCCGGCTCCCTCACATGTCGCCGCACGCTACCTCCTGTCAGGCGAAAACGCTTCTCACGACTGACAAAATTATTTGTCCTTATTTTGTCATATTAGCGAGGGTGGATTCTGCTCCTTTTTTTTTTTTTCATTGTACGTCACGTTTACTGAAAAGTATGTGACGTGGGATTCCTTTTTTTCAACTGGTATCAATACTCAAAAAAAAAAAATGCAAACCACAAAACCAATTTAGGAGGTGTCAAGTCAGCAAACAAGGGAGGGAAAGTGACATTTTGGGCTTTTGGTGTATCTACCTCGAAACTTTGAAAGCAGTATTATGCATAGTCTGTCATTCAGTACTTGTATTTGATTTGTGGATGGTTGTTTTTAAAATTTATTTTTAAAAATCTCTCAGAATTTTTACTACACAATACAGTAATTTATTATTTTTAACTTGCACACAAGAAATACCCAAATGAAAAAAAAAACTAAGACTAAAACTAATAACTACACAGAAATGAAGTATTAAAAAAAACGGATCAAAACAAGCACAAACTAAATTTTTAAAAAAAAATGAAATAAACACAAACTAGAATGAAAATTCCTGAACTCTTTCGAACCTTGCTTGGTGGGAAATCAAGTTGCAACTCTTGATTGTCTGTTCGTCTTCCCGCGCAGGTCAATCTCGAGCCAACATGATCCCCCTGAAACAGCCGCGCAACATCAAGGCGTCCAACGACACCCTGGCCTCCATCGATCTCGAAGGCCTCGCCGAGCAACCGGCACCCAAGTCCTCTCCGCCGCCCTTGCCCAAAAAGGCGGTCCCCCGCTCCATCACGGAGCCCAGCCTGGCCGCCAAGGAACCCCTCCAGGGTGCCTTTCGACCGAGGGCGGAGGCCAAACCCGGCGGCACCAACCTGAGTGTCGCCAACCCCCTTTATGACCTGGACACCACCTGGGAGACGGCGAGTCAGAGCTCCTCCATCAGTACCCACGATCAAGAAAGCGGCGACTCCCTGGAGCGCCCGTCGGCCGCCGTCGGCAAAGCCCGCCCGGCGAACAGCTTGTCCTCACTCATGTCACAAGCCAGCAGCGCGGCCGGCGGCTCCAGAGAGAGGAAAGTCTACCCGAGCACCGAATCGCTCACCGGCAAGAATCGCAAGACTGGACAAGGCGCCGCCGCCCCTTCCAAACATGCGAGGCCCGCGCTTTACCGGGGGCTGGACAGCTGGGACGAGGTGGTGGGCAGGATCCGGGGCCTCCACACGGACACCCTGCGGAAGCTGACGTCCAAGTGCGAGGACCGTTTCATGGCTGGCCAAAAGGATCACTTGAGATTCGAAACGGAGAGCTGGTCCGACTTCCGGCTGACCACCGGGAAACCTTGCTGCGAGGCCGGAGATGCCGTCTACTACACCGCTTCATATGCCAAGGACCCGCTGGTCAACTACGCCATTAAGGTCGGGATATATTCTCAGCTCAAGTGTATTTGTAGAGCCACTTTAAAACAACCGACGCCGTGTACACGGAGTCAAAATAATTCATACAAAAAAAACAAACAATCTTGGTTGTTTCCGCAGATCTGCCGAAGCAAAGTGAAGGAGACCCAGCAGCAGTTCTTCCACAGCCTGGCCGTGAGGCAGAGCCTGGCCGTGCACTTCAACATCCAGCAGGACTGCGGCCACTTCCTGGCTGACGTCCCCGGCAGCATGCTCCCCTGGGAGGAGGAGGCAGATGAAGAAGAGGAGGAGGAGGAGCAGGAGGAAGGCGACAAGAAGGACGGCGGGGATGGCTTGAAAGAAAGCCAAGCGAAATCAGAGGCCAAGTCGACAGAGTCCAAACGTCCAAACGGGGAGTCGGGCGAGGCGTCGGCAGGCGCGGACGCGAGCGCCGCCGCCGCCGGCCGCTTGAGGAGCCGAGTGGTGGTCATCACGCGGGAGGTTCCTTTCCAGACGGTGGCCGACTTCGTCCGCCAAGGCGTGTCTCGGCACGTCCAAAACCCGGAGCTGTACGAGCGCCAGGTGTGCCTCCTGCTGCTCCAGCTGTGCTCGGGCCTGGAGCACATGAAGCCTTACCACGTGACGCACTGCGACCTGCGTCTGGAGAACCTGCTGCTGGTTCACTGCCGGCCCAGCAACGCCAGAACCGCAGACCCCGTCGAGCCCAACAACAACAGCGCCGGCAAACTGGCCGCCGCCGCGAACTCCACCTGCCCCGCCCGCCTCATCATCAGCAACTTCTCCCAAGCCAAGCAGAAGAGCGCCCTCATGACCTCCGACCCCGGGGCGCTGCGGGACCACTCTCGGCTGGCGCCAGAAATTATCACCGCCACGCAATTCCGCAAGTGCGACGAGTTCCAGACGGGGATTCTCATCTACGAGATGCTGCACCGGCCGAATCCCTTTGAGGAGACGCCGGAGCTGAAGGAGCAAGAGTACACCTGGGCCGACCTGCCGCCCCTGCCCGTGCGATCGCTGTACTCGCAGGGCCTGCAGCAGCTGGCCCGGTTGCTGCTCACCGTCAACCCGTCGGAAAGGATCCGCATGTCGGAGGCTCGGGCCTGCCTGCAGTGCCTGCTGTGGGGACCCCGCGAGGACTTGTTCCAGGCTCTGGGCTGCGGCAGCGCCTCGGGCTCCATGTCGTCGGCCACCTCCGGCCAGCGCCAGGCGACCCTCCAGAATTGGCTGGACCTGAAGCGCACGCTGATGATGATCAAGTTCGCCGAGCGCTCCATGGACTCCGCTTGCGGCGTGAGCTTGGAGGACTGGCTCTGCTGCCAGTATTTGGCCTTTGCGACCACGGAGAGCCTGAGCCGGGTGGTGCACATCCTGCGGCAGCCGCAGCCGCAGCCCCCGTCTCAGAACCAGAACCTGAACCAGTCTGTCCCCGCCGGGCACAACCATAGTCATTTAGCGCACGCCTTCCACCGAACTCAGTCGCAGCCGCTCTGAGCTCCACTGCGGTGCGGTTGCCAAGGCAACTACTTGCCCCCTCCTGTGGTCCCCGCGCTGATGCTAATGCTTGGTGTGTACCGTTAGCATCATTAGCACCTCACGTGTCGGTGGGTAAAAATTGGGACGGATTCGACGTCGGCAGCAGGACGACGTGATTTTGAAAACGAGCACACGAGCTTCCCTGACTTTGTCACGATGCGGTTCAAAGTAAGGAAAGAAGATTTGGACCATTGGCAACAAAAAGCGGCAGGTTTTCGATAGAGGTAGGTCGAAAAGGATTCAGGGAGTGGCAAGAGCCTCTCGGCGCCACCACAATGGAAGTGTCGATTTTGAGTTGGAATTTGAGACGTTTCACAAAAGTAGAACTTGACCCATTTAGGATCGATGAGTTCAATTTGGACTAAATATCTCGTTGAGCGGATGGATCTTGAATCGCAGCTTTCCCCGGCCGGACGTGTCATTGATTTCATGGTCAATCTTGCAACTTGCAGTTCATTTGAATAAAACTTTTTTTTTTTTTAATTGTTCGGATTAGTTTAAAATATTGGACCATTGAATAATCCAATTGTGAGCCAAATAGTCTTTTGTGAAAAGAGACGACAAAGCCAATTTGACAAGAAGGCAAAATTGAAGTTGAAAGATTTCAAATGGAAATAATCCATCTTTTTTTTTTTTTTTTTTTTTTTGTGGACGCCAAAGACCTGCCACAAATTGGCCATTAAAATGTACTGACAGGAGACATTACGAGACTTAAGTTTACGATCTTGTCCAAAACGAGCCAGTGATTTATTAGTGACTTGTGAAGCTTTTTTTTTTTTGCTTTTTTTAGTCAATGCCAGATGCTGTAATATATATTTGACACATTTGTGCAAGTGATTTACAGGCTTCAAAGTTGTTGAAGTAAAAAAAAAAAAAGGGATATAAGCCGGCCTAGCTGTTGTTTTGCTTCCTCGCCTCAAAACGTGCAATGTTTTCATTTTTCCTCAATTTTCCCTAATTCTTGCGATAGTTTTGTGGCACATAAGACGAGAATTCTCACTGTGGACTGAACCAAAGGGAACTTTCCTGGACCGGACTGCAAACATTTTTTTTTTGTTAATCTTCACCAGGTTGTTTTGGGAGAGCTTTGGTGGCATTGGCGCCGATTCGTTGCTCGGAGGTTCAAACGAATTGAGCTGCTTGATTTTGGACTTTTCTTGGCACGTCGAATGTAAAACTTTTCCCGGACTGACATTTGGATCTTTCGACTGATGAACCACTTGGAGACACGCTCCCATTCCGCAACCATTGTTGATGCTTGCCGCTCATCCGTTGACATTTTTTTGCAGGGTGGGGAGAACCTGCGGACTACATCACCTTCAATCTGGCCTGCCAGGCAATTCTAAAACCTCGGAGGAACTGTCATAAAAAAAAAAAAAAAAAAGCCCCGAAACACCACTCAGAATGTGTCATCAATGTTCGAATTTTTCAGGACCCTCAGAGGAAAATTCCCACCCCTGACTTGGTTTAATGTGGGCCCGTGAATGCGCACGGTTTCATTTGTGGTCCGCGTGCCTTTTATTCAACCCAACTTAATTTTTATTATTTTTATTTTTTTTTGCACATTAAAAAAAAGTTCACTTCGCATCCAAACTGACATGGACAAAACACTTTGCATTGTCTATATTATTTGTCTTTGTTTGGGGGGGGTGAGAGAAAGCAAGTGTGTAAAGGATTTGTATACTAAAAGAATGTCTGGAGAGCACTGGTGGCTGTCCTTGTATGTAGAGATTTAAGCGTAAATATATGCATAACCTATTTTAACCCACAATCCGCTTTTTGTTTTGTTTGTTTTTTTTGAGCACCGCACCAAAATAACATTTTAACCTTTGGTGAAACTTGACTTTCCCCAGGCTGTGACTGGGGAAGGATGAGGCAATGAGATCACTGTTGAAGAGGAAAGCACATTAGGATACAGTCAATTTATAAAGTGAACACGCCTCTGTTAAAAAATATATATATATAATTTTTTTTTTTTACCAAATGTGACCTCTATCATGGTTGATTAGAAAGTGCGTCCGTCCTTATTCTGTTTGCTTGTCTTTTGTGAAAACAAATATTTTTTTTAATGGCGACAGATATTCCACCATAGTTTCTGCAGAGCCCCTGAAGCCCAAAGTAAGAAGTCGGGTCAGCACGAGGCTATGGGGTGGGGGGGGGTGAGCCCGCTGCACATGTGCCTGCGAGTGCACGGCAAATGATTACTTGTTTGTCTTGCGTTCCGAGTCTAATTGGTTGTTTTTCCTCAGGCGCTGCGTTTTCTTTCAAATCGCGTTAACTTTTTAAGATGGGGCCAGAGAGATGACTTTTTTTTTTCACAGATCATTTTATTCTCAAGTTCAAACTGACAGTTGGAACAATTTTTGAAGAGATTGTTTTATTTTATTATTATTTTTTAGTATTCACAGATCATTTTATTCTCAAGTTCAAACTGACATTTGGAACAATTTTTTTATTTTATGATTTCTTTAATCGTTTTTGTTGTTGACAAAACATTTCATCCCGTTTATAAGCAATGTAGTGCAGTGGCCAAGTTTCTGTGAGGGGCCGCTCTGCTCCTAGTAAAAAAAAAAAAAAAAAATCCTCCCAAGTGCTTCTGGTTTGTCTCACTTTGAAAGGAAAGGAAAGTTCCCTCAGCAAAAAAAAAAAAAAAAAAGAATCTGAAGAGGCCCCTTGTACTGTCTCCGCCAAACTGCAAAACTGTTTAACCGAGGTGTGTTCACTGCGCAGAGCTTGTCTGTTCCCTGTCATGTAGTTGCCCCGCTTCTCGGCGCCGACCCACTCGGACACACAAGGTGGGCGAGCGGCCTGAAGCGCATCACTTTAAACCACGGGTGGGGAACCTCGGCCCAGTTGGCCCTAACCACAACCCGCCAGAGCATTTCCTTACGCTCTTCACAAGAACTCCCAAAATATTATCATCATAACCCGCAAAACTATTGCTATCAGTGCACGCTATTTTTGGCTCCCATTAAAAAAAAAAAAAGTTCCCCACCCCTGATTTAAAACAAACACCTGTTATCCCTCATGTTTAGTTTTATATATTGTACTATTTATACAATACAGTACAATGAATGATCACCACTGGACAGCAATGCATCCGTTGTGCTATCTTTCTAACAACATGTACAGAATGCCTCCTGGACATTTATTGTTAACCAACAGTCACCGGAAAATCAATAAATGTTTGGATTTTTTTTTATATACATAAGTATACTTTGTTGTTCACTTTTTACTTGTGCTTGCTTATTAACGGGATGACTTTGTGGTAAGAATCTCCCAGCGTTTTTTTTTTGTTCAATACCTGGATAAAGGCAAGGATAGATTTCTTTTTTTTTTTTTGCCCCATAAAATCTTTGATATTTCAAAAATAAGTGGCCGGTACACCAGCTACACCACCAGATGGTGCTGAAGGATGTTAATAAATTGATATTACATCAACCTTACAGCTCGAGGAAGAAAGAAAAGTAAGGGGCCAAAAAAATGCTGGCCTTTTTAGTTATTTGACCATTTTTAATTTTCTGTGAATAAATGCTCAAACAATATATTTGGAATGTGGAAGTAATATTATCAAAACATCTAGGGACGAGAGCACTCAATCAACCTACCACGCATGTTTTTGGAATGCGGGAGGAAACCGGATTACCCGGAGAAAATCCACACAGGCACAGGGAGAACATGCAAACTCCTCACAGGTAGGCTGGAGCCCGGAATCGAACCCGGGGCCTCGTCAACCGTGAGGCAGATGTGCTAATGGCAATTGTTTTTATCCATCCATCCATTTTCTGATCCGCTTTATCACAAGGGTCGCGAGTGGGTGCCGGAGCCTATCCCAGCTGTCTTTGGGCAGTAGGCGGAGGACACCCTGAACCGGTTGCCAGCCAATCACAGGGCACACGGAGACGAACAAACATTCGGACCCACACTCACATCTCGGCACAATTTCGAGTGTTCAATCAGCCTGCCATGCATGTTTTTTGGAATGTGGTAGGAAACCAGAGTACCCGGAGAAAACCCACGCAAGCCCGGGGAGAACATGCAAACCCCACACGGGGAGGCCGGAGCTGGAATCGAACCCAGTACCGCTGCGCTGTGAGGTCGACGCGCTAACCACTCGCCCACCGGGCCGCACCAATTGGTTTTAATCTTGTTAATTTAGAAAAATAAAAACACTAGAGGACAATTTAAATAGTTGATTGTTTATTATCTGCATTTTCTGAAGATTTTTTTGGGGGTTTTTAAAAATAAATCAATGAAAATCCAAGATGGGAGGGGGGCAAATTAGTGAAAGGGCCACTCAAAAGTGCGGCAGTTGCCCATCCCTGGTCGATTTACTCCCACAGTGCGTCAACTCGCTGCAAAGTTTGAAAATTAAATTAACGGCATTGGCATATTTTTCCCTGAGAGTTTTTGATGCTGAAAGTGAAGATTTTTCTTCCACTTATTGGAAGTGATGCCAGCCTCCCAAGTAACGATGGGCGACTGTTTTTCACAGTCGAAAAGTGCAGCCGGCAATTCATATGGTGTCTATTAAATAGACAAGAGGCAGCGGTGTCCTAATGGCTTAAACCAACCGTTCGATGATTAATACGGAAAAGTGGACTAAATATATACCGAGTACTGTACACGCCGGTCACGTGAACATCCCTCATGAATAAATGAAAACAGTTGCGGCGCTGTTGTAATTATTCCTCATCGGCCAAATGTTCCTTGAATTCTTCTTTGCGTGTGCATCTTCTTCCTCCCTGACTGGTGCTTACGATGAAGAGGCGGAGGTGAGAAGTTGTTCTGCAGGGACAGTGTGATTGTGTGTGTGTGTGTGTGTGTGTGTGTGTGTGGTGCGCGCATGGGTGTGTGCGCGGCGCACACCGAAATGCCTCTAGCAGCATCTTTCTTTGCAGACTCCAGCGAGCTGCGGCACAAGCAGGCTGCTCCCCTTCATCGCTCTTCGTCTTCCTCCGAGCAAGCTCCTCTGAAGTCGCCCTTGTCTTCCTTCGCCGCCTCTTCTTCTTCTTCTTCTTCTTCCTCCTCCGCCAGCATCCGCCGGCACTGGATGGAGAGCGGCGCCTGAAGAGAAAGGAGAGCGGTGGTGGAGTTGCTTCGTCCATCCTCTTCCTCCTGCTGCAGCAAACAAGAAAGTCCCGGTAAGAAAGCATCCTTGCATGATTTGCT